CACCGCCATATAAGAAATTGCTCATGTGTGTCTGCATTAGGCTCGATAGATCAAATTAACTTTGCCTCAAGTGGTGACTTATAATTCAATCGAATAGGACAAAAAGATTCACATAACCGTCCTCACCCCAAAATTATTATCTGTAAAGAAAAGGGAGAGGAGAAAGAACGAACCTACAATTTTCGATGGTCCGAAAAAGTGATTGGAGAATATTGCCTAATACATTCAAAATCTTAAGCTTTGACAAACATCCAATTGAATTTGGGAGGGATTTGAGCTGATTGGAGTGCACATCCAACACAACCATATTCAAGAGTCTTGCTGTTAAAGATTCTGGAATACTCTATCAAATGGAGAAAAAATAAAATTAAAACGAAGAAAAATACATAATAGAAAGCAAAATAATACTATCAAAACAACAACCACCTAAACATTCAGCTAGAATTCTTTCTTATCCCTCTATTTATTTCATTGTTACATCGACAACGATCCAAACAAACAAGACTCTAAGCAATTCTTCTTTTGTATTGCATCAAAAGAACATGTTAAGGATATATCGAATCAAAAATCGACTAAAGATTTTGAACTACTCATCTTATCAAGATTGACTTTTTAAAATGGAATCTCGAGTCTTAATACATGAAAAGATATGAAACTACAAAGTTTTGATCGAAATGGCACCTGAAGATTGTTGTTGGAGATGTCTAATTTGCAAATGGTTCCTAAACTGAGAGGAGGATTAGGGAGGACCTCCAAAGACATCCCACTTAGATCAACAATTTGAAGTTCTTCTTCTTCTATGTGGTTTGATCTGCTATTATGATCATGTCTCTTCCTCAAGTCCAACCTCATCTGTTGCTGTTGCTCGGACATCATCTTTACATACACATATAGATATTATAATAAAATGAGTACAACTCTCTTATATGTATAGCTAGTGGGATGGGATGGGATGGGGTGGGATGAGGATGAGCAGGAATTCCTATGTGTGAAATATGAATTCACAAGTTGTAGACATATCCTGAACAATCAACATATTTGCCAATAGAGTAGCGAGCAGCTAAATCATCTCGATTTATAAAAAAAATTATATATTCGACAAGCACGTGACGAGACATATTATTGAAGATCGAATTTAAATAAATCGATTCATTTTTTTGATAGATTATGCTTTAAGATATGTTTTAATCAATAATCATTACAAACTAAATTTTATTCTCAATAAATTTAAAACTAATCTATATTATTTTTATAAATGAAAATCTTGAAAGAGGAAGTCGTAATCTTTGACTCTGAGTTTAAAGTTTGTTGGCATCTCATCTTGTAACCTAAATATGAACAGATGTGAACTAATGTTTCAACTCAATTAATTTATTTGACTAATGAATATTTTCATATCACTTTTACATTAGCTTCGGCTTTGACAAAATTTCTAAATTTGGATAGATCCTTGCACATTTCAATTTGGACATGGGATTCTTCGTGCTAAGTACGAATGGTCCTTAATTTCAATGCAAGATTTTAAACCATATATTTATGTGGACATCATTGCAAAAACATTTAGAATTTCAATACTCTAAAAATCAAATATCTCTGACTTTTTGTCCCGATATTCATGAGATATTTTATTACTTCATACTGTCAATTTCTTTAAGTTCATTTCCTTCGATTTAAAGTAATTATTTTTTAAAAAATACACGAGAAACAACCAAAAATAGAGAGAGAGAGAGAGAGAGAGAAGGGGGGGGGGGGG